CGGCACTGGGGGGTTGTGGGGTGGCACTGGGGATAACTGAGAGGCACTGGTGGGATATGGGGTGGAACTGAGGGGTAATTGCGAGGCACTGGGGGGCTATGGGACGGCATTGGGGAGTTGTGGGGTGGCATTGGGGGGATAGAGGGCAACTCTGGGGGGTTGTGGGGCACTGGAGGAGTTATTGGGAGGCACTGGGGGGCCTATGGGGTGGCGCTGGGGGGGTAATTGGGAGGCAGTGGGGGGGGTGTGGGATGGTAGTGGAGGGCTATGAGGTGGCACTGGGGGGCTATGGGGCACTGGGGGGGGGGTTACGGGGCAGCACTGTGGGGGTTATGGGTTGGTACTGGGGGGTTGTAGGGCAGTGGGAGGTTGTGGGGTGGCACTGGGGGGGGGATATGGGGCAGCAATGGGGGAGCGCTGGGGGGGTTATGTTTGACACTTGGGGGGGGGTACTGGGCAGCACTGGGTGGGTTATGGGGTGTCACAGGGGGGGCTCCTTGGGCCCCTTTTTGCTTCCTAACCCTAACCCTAACCCTAATCCTAACCCTAACCCTAACCCTAACCCTAACCCTAACCCTAACCCTAACCCTGACCCACCCCCCCCCCTCCCCCCCCCCCCCCCCCCATTCCCCAATGCTTCTTAATTCAAACCAAGGGGAAACCCCCCCCCCCCTCCCCAACCCCCCCCCGCTCCCCCCCAGCGCCCCCCCCTCCCAACGGAGCGGCGCTTCTGATTCAATTCCAGCCTCGCGGATCAATCGCAATTTTCTCCTTCTCCCCCCCCCCCCCCCCCCCCCCCCCCCCCTCAATTTTGCACTGGGGGGGCGGTGCTCATTTGCATTCATTAGACTCGCAGATCGCGGCGCTGCGCTCGGTTCGGAGCCGCGATGAAATCCGGGAGGATGCGATGAGGGGCTTCTCCTCAACCCCCCCCCCCCCCCCATCTTCCCCAATTCCCCCCCCCCCCCAATCAGCAGTAATTGCATTTCTGGGGCCGCAGGTGGTGCCGGCTCCGGATCGGGGGCTGTAAAGAAGATGGATGGCGGGGGGGGGGGGGGGGGGGTCAGCACCCCTTCATTGCCAGTGCTGTGTGTGGTGCCCTATAGGGGCTGTGGGGTGCCCTATAGGGTCGTAGGGTGCCCGATGGGGCCTGTGGGGTGTCCTATAGATGCTGTGAGGTGCCCTATAGGGGCTGTAGGGTGCCCCATAGAGTCCTTGAGGTGTCCTATAGGGGCTGTGGGGTGCCCTATAGGGGCCTTGGGGTGTCCTATAGCGGCCGTGGAATGCCCTATAGGGTCGTAGGCCTGATGGGACCTGTGGGGTGTCCCATAGAGGCTGTGGAATGCCCCATAAGGGCTGTGGGATGCCCTATAGGGGCTGTAGGGTGCCCTATAGAGGCCTTGGGGTGCCCTACAGGGGCTATTGGATGCCCTATAGGGGTCATAGGGCACCCGATAGGACCTTTGGGGTGTCCTATAGAGGCTGTGGGTGCTCTATAGGGGCTGTTGGGTGCCTCTTAGGGCTGTAGGGTGCTCCATAGAGGCTTTGGGGTGCCGAATAGAGGCTGTGGGGTGTCCCATAGAGGCCTATACCCACCCCACATCCCCTATTCCCACCCCACATCCCCTATTCCCAGCCTTATTCCCATCCCATCCAGCTTTACCCCAACCTTTATTCCTAACCCACATTTTCCCCTTTGGGTTCTCCGATCCCAACAGCATGGGGACAAGAATGGAAAGAAGGTTTAGGATGATGTCCCACACTGGGATGATGTCCCACATTGGGATGATGTCCCACATTGGGATGATGTCCCATATTGGGATGATGTCCCACAATGGGATGATGTCCCACAATGGGATGATGTCCCACATTGGGATGATGTCCCATATTGGGATGATGTCCCACACTGGGATGATGTCCCCATATTGGGATGATGTCCCCATATTGGACCCCCCCCCCATTTGTTACCCTCCTCTCCTCCTCCTGCCAGCAGCCCTTGCCCGTTCGTTAACTCTTTCCTTCTTTAACCCAGCGCTGCCTGGGAGGGACCCCTCTGCTCCCCCCATGAGGAGTGATGGAGGATCCCGGTGCTCCCTGCTCATCCTACAGCAGGGCTTCCCTTTTGCTTTGGGGTTGGATTTGGGTTGGAGGATCCAGATGCTCCCTGCTCACCCTACAGTGGGGTTTCCCCTTTACTTTGGGGTTGGACTTGGGATGGAGGACCCCAGTGCTCCCTGCTCACCCTGTAATCGGGTTTTCCCTTCGCTTTGGGTTGGATTTGGGTTGGAGGATCCAGATGCTCCCAGCTCACCCTGTAATGGGGTTTCTCCTTTGCTTTGGGGTCAGATGAGAGATGGAGGATCCCAGTGCTCCCTGCTCACCCTTCAGCAGGGCTTCCCTTTTGCTTTGGGGTTGGATTTGGGTTGGATGATGCGGATGCTCCCTTCTCACCCTACAGTGGGGTTTCCCCTTTGCTTTGGGGTCAGATAAGGGATGGTGGATCCCGGTGCTCCCAGCTCACCCTGTAATGGGGTTTCCCCTTTTCTTTGGGGTTGGATTCGGGTTGGAGGATCCAGATGCTCCCTGCTCACCCTACAGTGGGGTTTCCCCTTTGCTTTGGGGTCAGATAAGGGATGGAGGATCCCAGTGCTCCCAGCTCACCCTGTAATCGGGTTTTCCCTTTGCTTTGGGTTGGATTTGGGTTGGAGGATCCGGATGCTCCCAGCTCACCCTGTCATGGGGTTTCCCTTTGCTTTGGGGTTGGATTTGGGATGGAGGAGCGCAGCCCGCGGTGCACTTCGGGGCGGTGTAACTCGACTCTCCCATTCCTGTCATGTTTTACATGGCCGGGCATGTGGTGAGATCGTGTTTGGCCAACCTTTGCTTTCCCCAAAGGAGGGAACGGAGGGGCCACCGTGCCGCCGATTTATTGCGCCTCCGGAGAGCTCCGAAAAAAGCAGATGCCTTCGGCCTTAATCTGCCCCGTTGCCATGCAAACCCCCAACCCGCTTTGATGTCCCCCTTAAATGCTCCATGTGTTTCCAATAAACGGAGGTTTTATCGCTGGAGCTGTTAAAGGCAGAGCTGGGGGGGGGGGGGGGGAAGGGGGGGTCGTCCCTCGGATCTAGGGGGGCTGCTGGGGGTAAACCCTCTGCCCTCGGAAAGGGGCCACGGTGCTGCCCCTTCCCCATGGTGTCACCTCCACATGGGTCCCTTCCCCATGGGGGGGGTCACCTCCAGATGCGTATCCCCTCCCCGTTATGTCCCTTCCCCATGGGACCCCCTCCCCATGGTGTCCTCTCCCCACGGTGTCTCATCCATATATGTGCCCCCTCCCCCATGACGCCCCCTCCCCATGATGTCCCCTCCCTATGTCTATCCCCTCCTCGTGGTGTCACCTCTCTACATGCATCCCCTTTCCATGATGTCCCTTCCCCACAGGATCCCCTCCCCGCTGTGTCCCCTTCCTATGCATATCCCCTCCCCAGGATGTCCCCTCTCCGTGGTGCCCCTTCCTCATAGTGTCACCTCCACATGTGTGCCCACTCCTCATGGTGACCCTTCCCCAAGATGTCCCCTCTTCACGGTGCCCCCTCCCCATACGTATCCCCCCCCCCTTCCCCATGGTGACCCCTCCCCATGGTGTCACCTCTCCATCATATTCCCTCCTCATGGCATCACCCCCCTATGTGTATCACCTCCCATTTGTGTCCCCTCCCCATGGTGCCTCCTCCCTGTATGTGCCCCCTCCCCTTGGCATCCCCTCCCTATGATGTCCCCTCTCCGTGGTGTCCCCTCCTCATGGCGTCACCTCCCCACGTTGTCCCCTCCCTATGGGATCCCCTCCCTATCATGTCACCTCTCCATGACATCCTCACCTCATGGTGCCACCTCCTTACGTGCACCAGCTCCCAGTGACGCCCCCTCCCCACGGTGCCCCCTCCATATGCGTATCCCCTCCCCACGCTGTCCCCTCCCCACGCTGTCACCTTCCTGTGCCCACTCCAAACTCTGCACTGAGCTGCGCGATGCTGCAGCGCTCCCTGCAACGTCTGTTGGCTCTTTTTCTGCCCCCCGGACAGCAAACTTTGGGGTCTGGGGGCAGGGGGGTTTTATTCTCCCTTCCCCATTCTCCCTTTGGCTGAAGCGTGGTGTCAGCAGCGCTGCTGATAGACGCTGCAGAAGGGGTCAGCAGCGCCGGTATTCTTTATTTTGACAGCGCCATGAAAGTGTTATGTGGTCGCAACGCCTCCCCGCTGCTCCACCCCCTCTGCCTTTATCAACCTGAAAGGACCCATGGCCCTATTTACGACCCAACTCGAATGGCGTGGCGCGCGGGGACGGCCCACAGGGAGCGCTGATTTATGGACGCGACACACAAAGCTGACCCTCCAGGACGTCCCCTTTTTGGGTGCATTTGTCCATTTTTCAGGGCCTGTGGTGGGGCTGTGAAGGTCATAGAGCCATTAAGGGGGGGGGTGTTTTCGGAGGGACCTTAGAGATCATTGTGCCATAGGATGGTTGGGTTGGAAGGGTCCTCGAAGATCATAAATGATGGGGTGGTTGGGCTGGAAGGGACCATAAAGATCATACATGATGGGGTGGTTGGGTTGGAAGGGTCCTTGAAGGTCATAGAGCCATGGGGTGGTTGGGTTGGAAGGGTCCTTGAAGGTCATAGAGCCATGGGGTGGTGGTTGGGTTGGAAGGGCCTTAAAGATCATAAAACCATGTGGTGGTGGTTGGGTTGGAAGGGTTCTTTAAGACCGTAGGACCATAGGATGGTTGGGTTGGAAGGGTCCTTGAAGGTCAGAGAACTATAGAATGAGTTGGGTTGAAAGGGTCCTGAAAGATCATCGAACCGTGGGATGGACTGGGTTGGAAAATTATGGGATGGTTGGGTTGGAAGAGTCCTGAAAAATCATGGAACCATGGGATGGTCGGGTTGGAAGGGACCATGAAGATCATAAATGATGGGGTGGTTGGGTTGGAAGGGCCTTAAAGATCATCAGCCATGGGATGGTGGGGTTGGAAGGGTCCTTAGAGATGATAAAACCATGTGGTGGTTGTTGGGTTGGAAGGGTCCTTGAAGGTCAGAAAACTATAGAATGAGTTGGGTTGAAAGGGTCCTGAAAAATCATGGGACCATGGGATGGTCGGGTTGGAAGGGTCCTTAAAGATCATGGTACCATGGGATGGTCGGGTTGGAAGGGTCCTTAAAGATCATGGAACCATGGGATGGTTGGGTTGGAAAGGTCCTTAAAGATCATGGGACCATGGGATGGTCGGGTTGGAAGGGTCCTTAAAGATCATGGGACCATGGGATGGTCGGGTTGGAAGGGTCCTTAAAGATCATGGAACCATGGGATGGTCGGGTTGGAAGGGTCCTTAAAGGCCATCCAGCTCCAACTCAGCACATGGGTCTTCTGACTGTATTTGCTCTTTTCCCACTGATTTAACAGAAAACCCAGCGCAGAGCAGGGTGCAGAAATGCTGCCGTTGTGCCCTTCTCCCCCGGTGTTGTTGCTGATGACATCTGAAGTCGGAATGCGAAATGCCTCCGCTCCCAGCCGTGACACGTCGCTGCTCGAAGCAGCCCAGCGGGGCTCCGCTTTCCCTGTGTAATTACTGCCAGACCCCAACCCGTCCCTGCGCTCCCTGGGGATGCACGAGCTTCCCCTGCAGAGGGGATGGGCTGAGGTGGCGATTTCCAGGGCGAAACTTGCAAAAAAAGGGCAGCACGAAGGGTTCCTCCACTGCTGGCGGACGGCTCCCTCGCGCTGTGGGGCTGAGCGCGGGTGGCTCTTCTATCTCGACCAATTTATGCCTGCATGGAGGTCAGCCAGGGTGCAGGGTGCTGTAACCAGGGTGAGAAAAGCTCTTGACAAGAGCACGAGGGCTCTGCTTTATGTCAAGCGCCAGCCCCGCACCTGCAGCGCTTCCCTTTGGCGTAGTGATGGCAGCGTGGCTGGAAGCGTCCGTCTGTCCGTCCGTCCGATGCTTTGCTCGTTACCTGTGCTCTGCGCGGCCAGCGCATGGCACCCAGCGTCACCCAGCCCTGGGGACACATCCTGTGCTGTGCATCCCTCATCTCTGCAGCCCGAGGTCCCTGTTTGCACGCTGGGAGCAGCACCACTCGTGATGGTCAATCAGAACTGCGCGGGTTTCTTTTCGTGGAGGTGGATTTTTGGCAGGGCCTTGCTGTGGGGAAAGCAGATCCAGGTGCTGCACTCAACCAAGCGTGAAGAGAGGGCAGGGGAAGGGCTGCAGCGTGGGCTGTGCTGCATACAGGAGGAACATGGGATGGTCATCGTGTCCCCATGGGTTGGGGACTGGGGGAAAGGAGTGGGGAGGAGAAGGGATGAGTGTGGGGATGGGTGGGTGCATCCTTCCCTTCCCTTCCCTTCCCTTCCCTTCCCTTCCCTTCCCTTCCCTTCCCTTCCCTTCCCTTCCCTTCCCTTCCCTTCCCTTCCCTTCCCTTCCCTTCCCTTCCCTTCCCTTCCCTTCCCTTCCCTTCCCTTCCCTTCCCTTCCCTTCCCTTCCCTTCCCTTCCCTTCCCTTCCCTTCCCTTCCCTTCCCTTCCCTTCCCTTCCCCTTCCCCTTCCCCTTCCCCTTCCCCTTCCCCTTCCCCTTCCCCTTCCCCTTCCCCTTCCCCTTCCCCTTCCCCTTCCCCTTCCCCTTCCCCTTCCCCTTCCCCTTCCCCTTCCCCTTCCCCTTCCCCTTCCCCTTCCCCTTCCCCATTATGACCCTGATGGACAAAAAGCACCGATCACGGGCTTACACACCTGTAGACCTTCACACCATGGGCGCTTTGTCTCCATCCCATCACCACTGAGTCTGGTCCGAATCCACACCACATCCAAAGAGTCGCAGAGTCTCCAGATCTGGGACTTCACCAAAACTATTTCCTGACTTCTGGGGGGCAGCAGCAAGACTGAAGTCCTGCTTTCCACTCAGAAGTCTTGCGGAAAGTCAAGATCTTCCTCAATGGAGACGTTCAGAATGTCCGTAACGATGCACACGCAGAGTTCATGTTTCACTGTGCTTTGATTTATCATCCCTTGAGTTAATTATTGACCTTAGCTTTGCCTCGGTCAATATTTACCTCCCCAGCTCAATAAATCTCGACGTTCACCTCAACAGAAGTCAATATCTGCTTAGTGTTTATCTATTCCCTCAGTTGCTAATTTTGCTGAAAGCTTTTATTTATTCTCGCAGCGCGTGCTGCCTCGGCGCACGGCGCGGGGGATCAATCCTTCCCTCGGACAAAGCCTCCGCTCCTCCACGGTGCAACAAAGCCAAGGCCTCATCCAGCTTCCAGGCATCGGGGTTTGGCGATGGGGCCGGCGGCTTTGCTGGACCACGGACAACAGTCTGTCCTGCCGCAGCTGGGGAGCAAAGCCCCGTTGGGACGCGTTGGGCAGCCCCATGGGCTGGGGCAGGGACACGGGCTGCATTCCCTTCTCCACCCCAGTGCCATCCGCAAGGTCTGTGCTTGCAGTTCCTTGGGCTTGCAGTTCCCTTCCCTTCCCTTCCCTTCCCTTCCCTTCCCTTCCCTTCCCTTCCCTTCCCTTCCCTTCCCTTCCCTTCCCTTCCCTTCCCTTCCCTTCCCTTCCCTTCCCTTCCCTTCCCTTCCCTTCCCTTCCCTTCCCTTCCCTTCCCTTCCCTTCCCTTCCCTTCCCTTCTCTGGGGAACCCTGATGATGCTGCAGCTCCGATGGGTTCCGTGCTGTTGGATGCAGCCACAGATTTGGTCAGACCATCGCCTGACTCTGGAATGGTTCTCTTCCCTCCTCACCTTTCCCTGCACATCTCCATCCCCACAGCCCCCGATCCCTCCATCCCCACGAGGAGGAGCGCGGGACGACCTCCATCTCCACACTCCTGCCTCGAACTTTTAATATTTTAATTGAGTGAATTGACCTGGACTCGTCTATTGAACTCTGCCTGACCTCTTAAATAACAGGTCAAGGATTTAGCTTGGCGGCGCTGACCTCTTCCCTTATCTGCTAATACTGCTCCTCTCTCAATTAGCTGCCATCCCCCGGCCCCGGTGCTGGGACCACTTGGCCGGCGTCAGCGTGGCTTCGTGCAACGCACGAGTGGCTCCGAAACGGAGCTCATTGGGGCGATCCCATCCACAGCCCCTTCCTTAGGGACAGACCTCTGCCAGGGCACGTGGGATGGGAGAACCCAGAAGACGCTCGGTCCTCTTTGGGATGGGGCAAAGTGATGCTGGGAAGCTCCCAGAGCTGCTCGGGCATCGTGCGATGCCCTCAGGATGGATTTTTCCCCCATTTCTCCACGTGCTGTGGGGCACTGAGAGGAACGCCGTGACATCGGTGCATCTGATGAACCAAAGCCAAGTGGCCGCTTTGAGACACCTGGGGACAACCTCGGGATCCCTGCCCAGGAAATAACGGCCAACCCTCCGCAGGAGAGCAACAACAGCTGTGAAAGCGGCGCTTTGGTGTCACAACAGCAGCAAAACCTCCTACGCAGCAGCTGAAGCAACTCCTGCACGCACAGCTCCGGAGCACAGACGAGAGTTTTTCACCTCCATATAACACCAGGACCCCCCCCCCCCTCCCCGTGACCCCCGTGCCTCTGCCACCACCCCGGTGCCACGCAGCTGCCGCGTGCATCTGCTCGGTGCCTTGCGGCAGCGCTCGGCTCAGCACGCACAGCAAATGCACGCGGAGATTTGCAGCGCCATAAAACTTCGCCTGCTCCAATTTTATCTCGCCGGAGCCCCGGCTCGTGGTTACCCAGCCCTGCTAAATTAGCGCTGGGCTCCGCATTCCAGAGTATAAATATCTGCCATTGTAGTGCTGAGGAATGCGAGCGCGTTGGAGGCTAAAATTAAAGAGCGGGGAAGGAGGCAGCTCGGGTTACCAGAAACAAGACTCCATTGTGCTCCCATTGGGGCTTGGCTTGGTGCAGGGGACTGTTCGTGCTTAGGAACGGCCTGGGTTCAGTGCAAGGGGCAAAGGAGCTTTGATTGCGATTCTGGGTAGATTTAATGGCCATTTTTTGGTAGCTTTAATTGCAGCTTTGGGGTACGGAGCTCGAAACTGAGAGCTGCTCCCCACCCGGTGCTTTGCAGCGGGGCGTTTTCTAGGGGGGCTGTGTGGCATCTGCGCCCGCGTTGGGTGCTCCTCTCCCCTTCCCCTTCTGCTCCCCTCCCACAGGGAGCAGCAATCAGTAAACCACAGCATAAGATCCCAAACAGAAAAGTGTTGGGATGTGCTGAAGCCATCGGCTGCCCCTTATACACATCTGCGGGTCCAAGCTTCTCCCCTTGGGGGGGGGGACGATGCCCCGAAGCCCCTCCGATGCTCCCTATGCACAGAGGTATTTCTGCCCTCTGGAAAAAGCGGGGCGGGAGAAATCTGTGCCTTTTCCTTCTTAAAATCTGTGTTCTGCGAAGGAGCGGCAAATGGGTCAAGGTTGGGCTGCGCAGAAAGAAATCCACCAGGAGAAGCTCTCCCCTTCTTGCTGCAGATGCAGGTGTCTGCTGGGCCAAAATGACCAGGAAGGAGATACGGAAGCAGAAAAAAGCTCAGGTTTGCTCACTGCTTGCTGCTTTGCTCCCCATCGTTTACATGGAGGTGGGATCTTTGCAAGGCTGTGGGGCTGAGCTCTGATTTCCAATGCACAGCTGAGCGCTCACTGCTCCTTCCATCCCCTTCCACAATCCTTTTTCTGCCCCAGCAGCACCAAAAACCACCAAAGAATGCAGTACACCGAATAGGAAGGACCACTGAGTCCCATTCCCAGCATCGTGTGGCACCACCCCGAATCCCAACCCCATTTCCAAGCGCTCCATGGCCCACTCCACCCCTTACTCTGCTCCTTTTCCTGCCTCAGCAGCGCAGAGGAGCACAAAAAAAATCGCTCAACGACACAATGTCTCAGATAGGAAGAAGCACTGAGCCCATTTCCCAGCTCCGCGTGGCACCACCCCAAACCCAAACCCCATTTCCAACGCTCCTTCAGCTGACGATGACCGCATCCCCGCCGCGCCGGGGGCAGCTCTGCCTTTAAGCACATCCAGATGTGGGCAGAGGAGCTGTGAAAGTCCTTCTGTGGCCGCAGCAGAGGCCGTGGGGGGCACAGAGCCCAGAGGCGTCGCTCAGGGGCAGATCCCATACATCAACACGATGATTTGGGGACCTCTCCATCGCGGCCCCATCCCCCACCGCCGACCCCCATCCCCCAAGAGATCACTGCAGGCTTTTGCTAAGCGGACAAACTCACCCCCCAGATGCACAGAACTAAATTTTCTGCTCTTCTCTGCACGCGCAGAGGCTGCATTTCCCCAAAGCAGGGCGAGAACCCTCGTTAGGGAAATCATCCTTGTTAAGAACCCGCTCGGCCCCGTTGCAGGGAGCAGCGGTGGGCAAGGATGCGGCACCCGCGCGGGTCGTAAATCAGTGCCTCTCCGTAATTTTATGTAACGTTAATAAATCAGACAAATGAAAATAGCTCGGGCCTTGTAGGGCATAAATCAGCCCCCCGCTCCGGCGCGGTGCTTTAAAATAATTTGTAGATTGATGGTTGCCCGCCTCCGTGAGCAGGTTGGGGGCCTGGGAAGATTCTTAATGAGCTCTGTGATGTGACGGCCCCAAGGGCAGCGTTCCCCCCTCCCCGTTTGGGCAGAAGAGGCTCTGTGTGCCCAGAGGTGAGCAGGGAGGAGGGCATGGGGACCTCGGGTGCCCTGCGGTGGGGTGGGCAGATTTTGGTCTTTCTATAGGGGAAAAGGTCCCTCGGCTGTGGGTGTGAACTCAGAAGGGTCGAGTCCTCCGTTGGGCTCTTCTGTCCCTTCTGCTGGTCCCAAGGTCTATGAAGCAGCATCACCAGTATCACCAGTATCACCAGTACCACCAGTATCACCAGTACCACCAGTATCACCAGTACCACCAGTACCACCAGTACCACCAGTATCACCAGTATCATCAGTATCACCAGTACCATCAGTATCACCAGTACCACCAGTACCACCAGTACCACCAGTATCACCAGTATCACCAGTATCACCAGTACCACCAGTATCACCAGTATCACTAGTATCACCAGTATCACCAGTACCACCAGTACCACCAGTATCACCAGTATCACCAGTACCATCAGTATCACCAGTACCACCAGTACCACCAGTATCACCAGCCGTGATGGAGGCTCTGGTTGAAGCCCCCACGTGGCACAAAGTGTTTTTTCCACCTGAGCACCAAAAATGACACCCTGTCCTTCCTACGGGCACCAGTGCCACCCACCATCTGCACTGGGACCCAGCCTGCATCCAGGTCCCATAACTTGTTTCGCTGGCACAACCTGGATTCTCCAACTGCCTGCACAGATGGGGTGGCACCACCCCAAATCCACAGCCCCCACCCCACAGACACCTCTGCTATTGGGATTTCAGCATCACAGGGTCCCTAAAGGGGGACCTACATCCCATTCCCAAGAGGGACAGAAACCCCAATTCCCAAAGGGAACGTAAGACCTTTCCCAAAGGGGAACCTAAACTCTGACTCCACATGGGACCTAAGATCCATCCCCAAAGGAGACCTAAGCACTGTCCCCAAATGAGACAGAAGCCCCATCCCCAAAGGGAATCAGCCCTGCCCCCTAATTTGGACCTAAATCCCATCCCCGAAGGGGGATACGCACATTGCCATGTAGAGGCACCGAAGCTCCCTCCCCTGATGGGACAGAAACCCCGACAGGAACCCATCTCACCACACGTGGGGGCTGAGCGGCGGTGCTTCCCACCCCCATCCCACTCCCGTTGCTCACATCCCAAACACCCCACAAGCAGAACGCACAGCCCTTCCCAATCCCCCTCCCCTACCGAGGGACAGCATCCAACAACCGGCGTCACCACCCCACGATCCGTCACCCAAACAGCAGCAAACGCAGCTCATCACAAGGCAGGACCCGGGATTATCCCATCTTGTCACTAAACCCTCACACGACCCCAGGAATGTCCCCTCCCTGTGGGAGCACAGAAACCCCGGTGTTCCGAAGCAGGAGGTGTCAGCACGCATTTCTGCTGATGGTTTCTATCTCTGATCAAACACAGATGCAATTAACGCGCTCGGACTTTGGATGGGGAGCTGGTTTTTTAGGGGCATCGCGGGGAGTTATTAGCGCAAACAAACGGCGTGACCCCGCGGTTCCCATCCGGAGGTTCTGCACTAATGAGGGGAGGTGGAGCAGGGCTGGAAACCCGGCGTCCCGTTTGGTGAAGGGCAGTGCAACCCGAAGGATGGCAAAACCCACCTGGTTGGTGGCTGCTGCTGATGTGGCACGGGCTTCTCCTGCCAGATGTGCGCCGCTGGCTGGCGTCACCGCGGTCCCAAATGTCACCGGGTACCAAAAAATGTCAGCTCCTACCTGGCATCTCCCAGAGATCTCACGTGGGGTTGGGTACCAAAAGCCATCGGCTCCCAATTTGTGTCACCCAGAGATGCCACGTGTGGTTGGGTGCCAACAAATGTTGGCTCCCGTCCTTCATCA